GAGAGAGAGAGAGAGAGAAACAATAGAGCCAGCGATCTACGTAAGCGATAACGCGGATGCAATAGATTATTGCTGACCTTGCATATGGTTGAAGTATAATGTAAGTTCCGTGTATGAAATTATAGTGGAAGATGTTTTTGAATTTTGTACATTTTTATGATATTTCCTCATGCTTGGATTAATAATATTCAATTTATCAAGTAATATCTTATGTAATGAATGGAAAATATTTAATCATCTTCTTGAAGGAATCTTTCCTTTGAAAATATTAGAAACTTAGGTTATCGCGGAATGTTTTCGTCGTATGATTGTTATTCATAAAGTTTAAATAAATGCTTTATCACACTACGATTCCGAGATTCTTTGTCTGGTTCGCTGCGCGGATTATCTTTCGAAGATAATTGTTATCAATGTCAAACAAGAGGCGTGCCGCGTCACGAGCGATTGCTGCATCGGTTTTCTGTATGCCTATTAAATAGTAATCGCTAATGAAACTACTCAGAGTTTTCGTCATATTGTCGCATTCGATACTATTGACATTGAGAGATGAGCGTAATGCGCAAAATCATTTCGTGGAAGGCCTTCGTTATAGGAAGTGCTAATGCTAAGCGGACGAGAGCCGAATGAGAATGATTTCTATCTACGATTGATGTGGGTTCGAAAACCTTCGATGGTTTCCGTTCCTCATATAGCTCTATTCAATTATTCATGACGGAAATTTCGCGGGGATGGGCGCGATCGTGTCATTTAATGCGTTTAGATTTAATGCGATTTATAAAAATAAAGTGAAGAGTATTATATGTTCTTGATTTTGTGTTTTATATTTTCGCGACGTGTATTATCGACACATTAGCCCAAATATTTTAAGTCGGCGACTTTATCGATCAAATTTTAGTTAACTCAATTTATTATGGTTTTACGTGGCAAAACTCACTTTATTTGTGTGGCATATCCAACTTTTGTTTTCATACACACTCTATGCGGCAGCATTATTTTACATCGTATTCATTAAGCAATGAAAGCAGAATTTTACAACAATAACTCCTGCCACGTAAAACATTTTTTCCCAACCATGAAAACATACAACATTATATTGTTCCGTCGAAATATAGTACACCGGGATTTTTATCAGCGATTGCATAATGGGTCAGTTAATCAGTGAAAAATAGAACGGCTCGCATATTGCTGCTGTGACATAATGGGTTTGTTCTCGATCTCACGTGTATCTACTCGCAAGTTACAACGTAACACTAGGCAAGACGTTTGCCAGAAGTAAAGATAGACTGTCGCCTAAGAATAACAAAATTGCGAGACTGAAATAAACGGGGCGAATAACACTCAGCGAAAATCCCTTGTTACGTAGTGTCAACGCAATGTATTTAAAGCAATTGATTAAAAATATGGAATCATTATCTATTAGAATATTCTACATAAATGCAAGTTGCAAAACTAATTTGTGGATAGCTAAATGTATATAATTTTGTCAATGCATAATTTTGCTAATGTATGATTTCGCTAATAATGCTTAAACAATTCTACATTTCTACTCGTTTCTACGATTCTTTTCAAGATCGTTAAGCTAAATAAGTATAATAAAACGTGTTTCACATTTCTTCATCTACCTTTCTCTTTTTTTATCGACACACACTTTCCATATGCGTGAATGAATGCACTCGGATCTCTGAATTGGAATTAGAACAATTGATTCGAGTGAAATCAAGTGAAATTAGGTGACATGTTGCACTTACATGTCACCCGGAAGATTGTTATATAAAAAAATCAGAGATATCTGTGACACTAATAAGATATTACTGCTATATGAATATTGAGCGTAGCTATCGTATCTAATTCACTACGTAAGACGCTTTTCGTGTTCAGTTACTACAACATAAAAATCCGCTATCCTGTGTGAACAATCTAAAAACAATGTATT